AATCAATTTCCTTTTCAAATTTCTATATTAATTTCTGAAAAACAATTTCACAGAAAAATTCATTTCTCGGGCTCTCGACCTCAGAATTCGACTCCGGGCATATGCCCGAGTCTCATATTTTTCTACGGACCCTCCGGGACCGTCCAATCACGGGTCCGGGTCCGTTTACCCAAAATATTGACCAAAGTCAACTTTATTCATATTAATATTAAAATTCATCAATTTTTACACAGAATTTATATTTAAGCTTTCCGGCTACGCGCCCGGACTGCGCACGCAAATCGAGGCAAGCCTAAATGAGGTTTTCAAGGCCTCGGAAGCACGGAATGAAAGAGAAACAGGTGATGACCCTTTGGGTCGTCATATATTATCCCGCTACAAGTTGTAGTAATAGAAGATATTAAATCTTTTCTTTATTTATAGTCTCAATATAATCAACCGCTTTCGCGTATACTTTGGAAACTGAATAAGTTTCTATGAGACTTACTACAGTACAATACCTTATTGGTAATTAAATGTATTTCTCCAAAATAGTATAATTGGCTCTTGCAGAGTTCTCAATTAATTTTGTAGTACCACATATTCATCAACACCCACATGGTGAATATCTCTTTTAAAGAGAAAGTTATACCATTATGGTTTTGGTCAAAATTATATGCAAGATCTGTTTCTTGCATTACCGTTGTCTTTTAACAATCACAATGCCAAAATATTTTGGCGTACAATAGGTACGTGACTAATGTCCATTCATGACATAATAATGACATTGTTTTCTTATATCTTCTCAAACCTCCTTTTAGAGGTGAGTGTGGTATATTCACTACCACTAGCACATTCATATTCTTCCAAGAATTAATATGTATCATAAATCAGATGTTTTCACATTCACATCATGAATGGACCATAGTCATCTGTATGTGCTTTACGAAATCTTATGTCAAATCGATGACAAATATTACTTTCATAAAGTGAAGGATTATTTTGAGAATCCTTATTGTTCTCATTACCACAATGATGATGATTATAATTTCGTCTAACCACGTCCATATCCATTGATACATTCACAGTAATAATTTTGTCTTCTTTCAGACATATCACATACTGCTATCACATTCTCTTAAGGGAATGAGAATGGAGCAAATTCAATGGGACGGGTTTTCAATTCTTTTCCCACAGTAATACATGAATTTGATCATGACAAGACATAGAAATTTTACCACTTCAGGTGGTTATAATTTATTACAAACTCCATTAGAGTTATAATCAAACTTTGTTGTCTTTGCTTGTATATAAAATCAAATTATAGAATTTCAAGAATTTAAAAGAGAAAAATAAAGTAAAAATTCTTACCTTAAATCTAAAATTTAATCATGAAGGAAGTTCATGGAATAATTGACAATCATTATGCTCAATCCCAAAGCTTCTGCTCAATTGGTTAGAGTCTCGTGCTGATAACGTGTTATAAAACAATAAAAGAAGAAGAAGAGTATTGCAGAGAAAAGTAGAGGGAGAGAATTCTTATTGATTTGGGATGAATTACAATGGAATAGAACCCTCTATTTATAGGGAGAGGTTGACTTAGCCACCAAGTAATAAACCCTAGAATCTCTCGAAATATACCCATTCACCATAAATAAAATTCTATTTATAACAGAGAATAATATATAGATAAATCTATTTCTTACTACATCATTAATGTAACCTTGTTTGTCTAGGTGTTTTTGTTTTATCAAATACCTACCATATTCATGTGTATATTTCCGCATCTAGTATGCACATACAAGTAGTCACAAACTTCTCGATGGGCAAAATTAATTGATGTAAAGTTCTTGTCCTTTTGGGTGGAATATAGCTTTACATTCTGCCCCAACAACTATAGCTGAAATCTTTTCGATTTAACAAAATGTGGTATTTTTGAGTGGCCAAAAGCACATTATTCAGGTTTGGCGTTTTCTTTAACACAAATAAAATAAATGAAGTAAAAGTACCAAAATTTCGTATAATTTCTCTCCAAATCCTAAAAGCAGTTGAGTTATCAAACAACAGGAGAATAGAGCTTAATCATTACATCGGGCAAAATAAAAATAAAAAAATAGAAAGTCCAACAAATTAAAGGAAAAAAATATGAATATTCATTCAATAATGTAAAATGAAGATTCTTTCAAAACTTGCCTTATCATATTCACATTCTGATAGTAACATATCATCTTCTTATTTCCTCACATTTGCAAAAAAAAAAAAAAAAAAAAAAAAAAAAAAAAAAAAGAAAAGAAAAAGAAAAAGAACTGATCGATAACTCAATGTTGCTTGATGACCCATTCAAAGATAACGTCAATAGCATTTATCAACCAATGTAATAGCTCATTGGCTAAAAAAAATATAGGTTAATTTTATACTACCTCCAAATGCAATTTCATACCTTTTTCATGTGACAGAAGAGTTCCAATAATTACACTTTAGGATAATTAGAAAGTGTGCCAAGTCAATTATAATAATCTTAAAATATTTTAATCAAAGAACCACAAAATTTGTTGAAATGTCGGAGAAGCAAACTTGGAAAGTTTTTCTTGAGTGGCTCACTAACTGCAAAGAAAAATCAAGGAGAAGTTTAGTGCTAATTTTTCATAGATCCACCAGAGAGGAGACTTAAAGAGTCAAAACAGATCTTGACGAATTGAGAAGTAGCAAGTAGCGAAAGAAATGAAACATACAGATTTGTAGACATATCAGACTTGTCTTTGCTTTCAGAATGCATTTGTTTTGCTCTCTTTTTCTTTTTGACTTTTCCAAGTATTAGATTTATCATCACAAACATATTATATTTCTCTGAAGAGAAAGTAAAAAAATTTAGAACACCACCTACAAACATCATGCTACAGTAATGTAATATGCTTTACTTATACGCAACATTCCAGTAAAAATATATTAGCCCTCCATCTTGCACCAAGAAACAATCGTAGAATGATTAATTAAGCGTCACCAGTTATGATTTTCAATGACCGCGGAATGTCCTAGCAAGGTTAATAATTCAGCGTACAACCATTCATCAGTCTTGTTTAACACTTCTTTATTTTAAGTAAACACTAAAGAATGAATAAGGTTATATAACTGGAAGAACAAATAAAAGAAAAACAGAAGCCACTACAGATATAGATGTAAAACACCATGAAAGTAAGATATTAGATATACTGGTATTTCTATTAGAATCTTCTATAGATACATGATGCAATTTTGTAACTGCAATTTTGATACTTCAAAGTTTTTATAGATAATTCAATTTGTAGTAATTAACCGCAAAGCTTACTTAAAAAAGGTACCCATGGAGAACATAGAAGCTAAAAAAGGCAGGAAGCACGGAAAACAAACCTAAATGGGGATCTCAGGCAACAGGAATCTCAGAAGAAAAAGCAGAGGATTAGCGAAGCAGATAGAGAAAAACAAAATTACATAAATAAATAAATAATTCAATCATTCTTTACAAAAAAGCAATCATATTAGATAGAGATCAAGATGAAGCTGAGATGAAAACAAATGGAAGATGAAAATACCTGTTGGTTAACATTTAGAGATATAAACAAAGTATATTTTGCTGAGGAATCATCCACTCCAGAACAAAAGACTTAGAGAATTGTCTTGTAGTAAGAAACATCACATGATTGCATTTTGAATGATTTCATCGTAAACTATGTTACAGGTAGGATGATTATCATCGCTAGTCGGAGTGGGAGGTCGAATCAACAATGTCACACATTTCGAACTCGGGAAAATGCATAAGTACACCTATACCCGGATTCCCAACAGCACACTTTTTCTTTGCGGAAATCCTATTACCCCCCTAAACTTATTTTAAATGGAATTATTTGCACCCTTAACGCTGACGTGGCAGAGTGTGTGTATTTCACTCTGAGAAGCAAGAAAAAACGATTTTCAAATAAATTTTTTTCTTTTTTACTTTTTTTCTTACTTTTTTTTCCTTTTCCTTTTCCTTTGTCTTTGTCTTTTTCTTTTTTCTTTTACTTTTTTTTCGTTTCTTCTCTAATTCCGGCTGATATTCATTCACCGGCGACTTTGTCTAACCGTTCTTCTTCCATTTTTTCTTTTCACACACAAACTAAACTCTCAAAAAGATCTATTCATAAGCAAAGCAAAATACACTCAGATTTGGGGGAAAAAATTCATCATCGGAAAACTTTCCCACACCGGAAAGAAAATGATGTATTGAAATTTTAACTGAAAAAGATTTTCTCAGCTTATATTCAGTTTTATTTCTTTTGCTCTTCCTCCCCACACATAAACTATACTTTCAAGAAAATCTTTTATATATATAAAAGAAAACACACTTAGATCGGAATAGAAATATCGCCGAAAAAAAAAATTCGCCGAAATAAATGGTGTTTGTGAAATTCCGACGACCACCATTTTATGCCGCCGGTGACCAAAACAAAAGGAAAGAGAATGAAATCACCAAAAAAAAAGTGAGAATAATAAGAAATAAGAAAAAATGATAAGAAAAAGAAGAAAGAATAAAAAAAGTACTAGAAATACATGTGGGAGCGCGTGTAGCTCACCACTTGCCAAGAATTTGGTTGCCAGCGTTAAGGGTGCAAAGAATTACATTTAAAATAAGTTTAGGGGGTAATAGGACTCCCGCAAAGAAAAAGTGTATAGTTGAAAATCCGGGTATAGGTCAGAGGGTACTTATGCATTTTCCCGATTAAAAAAGAAAATTGGGTTCCATATATTAAACTCAGTTGCTCTCAGAAGTTAATAAATCTCAAGAGTTATATAAATGGCGCAACTAAGAGAGTCCCGAACTATCTCATCCTCCAGCAATTTAATTTTAAGGGCAACAACTTTTTGTGTATGTTTCCTCATCAGTTTATTAGGTATACTCATTGATGAAGGTAATATTGGGAAATTTATGCTCCACAGTAAGTTTGTTGGACAGCCACTAAGATCACAATATTTATATATAAATATAATTATCAAATTTCACATAGTTAAAGTAACATACATACTTTGTACGCATAATCATTCTAGAATTAATCGTTGTACAAATATGAGTCTTACAAAAGGAGATGTTACTAAATATGCATGTTGTACAGATTGAAATGTACAGACCAAAGTATTCTGTTTCTCTCAACTTCTGCTTTCCTGCAGATTTTTATAAAGATTCTCCCAATTCCTTAGGAAGTTTTTTGGCTCATTTAACTTCCTCTTATTTTTTTGTGCATCCTCCTTGCTTGTGGAATTTATATATGCAGAATAAAAATTACACAGCATCAGAAGGCAAACTAATTAAGCTCCATAGTGGAGTAGACCTTCCTTTTTCTGCACTTTAAGGCAAACTAATTAAGCTCCATAGTGGAGTAGACCTTCCTTTTTCTGCACTTTGTACTCGTGAGTCTACTGAATGCCCACCGCTAATTGCAAGAGAACACATTTATTGAAGGACTCTTGAGCACTATCGGTGTTGTTGCATCATGCAATCCTAGCTTCCGTGGTTTTCTATATCACAAGGAGCAATCTGATGAATGGCTTCTAGAACGATTATCTGTGTGGTTCATTCTTTGCTTGCTCAGCTAAAAATCAATTGACGTCAGAATTGAAGATGAAAAAAGATGATAATGTGATCAAAATTACCTTGATTTAATAAACCTTCAAATATTTTTCATAGCTTTTTCCCTTCAACAGTATATGCCAAGCGAAGAGAGCAATTACTGTACGTGTTAAAGAGAAAGCAGATTTCGGCTGACCATTTAAATCCATTTGAGTAGAGTAGAATCCAACTTCCAGTTTTTCCTTGTTATACTTATTTCTTTTGCACATATTGTACATAAAATTATCTTATTATAACATGCACAATTTGTATATAAAAGTCCCTTTGTAATTTTTATCTATTTTGCTCATGTACAGAAAATATCAAGAAGTCAGACTCTTCATGTTTTGTTGATCTGGAACATCAACTGCAGATGTGCATGTATTAATTTGATATCCATGGTTAATAATGAAATACACTTTTGACTTTAATTAATCCCTTGCCATCCAAATGGACTATTGAAAAAGTATAGGCGACAAAGTTTGCAATAATGCTCATGCAGGTTGAGACATCAAGCTTGTTCTGTGGCGAAGGAACTGAATGGAACCTGAAACTATTACTTTCTCATCTCTTTCATTTTCAAGTATTTGAATAGTTTTTTGGAAACTTTTCTGAAGAAAATTTTCAGACGTGCTTGTTGAGAAATATTCTAAGAAACAATCGTCTTTGATAGTTTTTTAGAGCGATATTGTAGTTATTACCTCAAAACAACACTTGAGTTGTTTCGTCTTTAACGGTTCTGATTTAATTTTTACATAACTAAACCAAATGCAATGTAGTTTCCTACAACAATAAAAACTGAAGGTACCTGCATCGACGCCCTTCTGATTTCTCGATTCAAAATACTGAACATGTGCATATCTTCAAGGGTTATCCTGTCCAACACAGATAACTTCGCATGTTAATAATGGATGCGAGTAATTAATGTTTAACCCAAAAACTGATTTAGAATCAACAATTGAATTATATTATAAGGCCTCTAGTATAGCAAACAGATTTGTCCAAAGTACGTTTAATGAAATAAAAACTATAATGATGCAGGAAGAAGTAATAACGAAATGAAAAGATTTTTATTGAATGTTGCCCCTCGATGTGGCTACGCAAGAATACAGTACAATCCTTCAAGCATATATTTGAATTGATAACTTGCAAGATACTACATATAGTCTGGTGTGTGTAATCCAGAGAGTATACTACAAGCACATGAAGTAAAGTATTTATAGCTTATGTGGGATGTGACCTTTTCGAGTTTCACGCCTACACGTTGCATACGTTAGCCACTAGTGGCGAGACCCTCGCTAGCCATAACCGTGCACAGACTGTGATCTTGGGAAGATTTTGGGTATCTTGAAGATCGGCACCAAAGGCGACAAGTCTGTTCCGACTACGTGCTTGGAAAACTCCCATCCGGTCACTTCTTTCTTCGGAGCCAAATAAATGATCCTGTCTGTTCACCAATTCTCTATCGGCTTTAGCTTTCATACTTCCAGTTCTCGAACCATTATTACTTATCCGGGTGAACCATTCTTGCAACGTGTTAGTTATCCGGATGAGCCATGTGTTGTCGTGACCGGAACTTGCCAATACAACTAAACCAACTGCAGTATAATTTCCATTTCATCGTAAAGGCAGTACATAATTATGCATGGAGAAACTTGTTCATGAACTTTAATTCAACATCATTCGGGGGTCTAAAATATACTTCCAAAACAATTTAAAGCGTGTACCAAATACAAAAATACTTGAGTAAAACCACAATCAGCAAACCAAGCAACGTTAATCCCGAATGAGAAAATCATAGGTAAATCCAGTTGTAAACCATAAATGAGAATCAAAACTAATTTGTATCATTTAAGTTTCTACAGTGGCTATGACAAACTAAAACATCCTAATTCAGTTTCCATGACAATCGCCTTGAAAATTTGATAAGGGGAACACAACTATACAACCATGAATCAAAAATAAAAAGAAAGCACATTGTTCCCTTGACAATGTACAATCAAAATTAGAAGAATACCACGTCAGTTACAGAAATCGAATCTAGAACTAAAGTGTTCCCAATTTTTGTGTATCCCATAATTAAAGCTGCAGTTTTTACTGAAGAACAACAGCTCAATACAAATAAAATATCAAAATTACTAACCTACTGTTATCAGTACGCGAAAATCAGAATATGAAATTCTCTTTTCAAGAAAATCGATCCAAAATTTAAAGGGGCTGAAAAGAATGTGGAATATACCTCATCCTCAAAAGTATAATCTCCACGCAGAGAACAAGAATTAGCAGAAATTGAAACTCCAAACCTGTAATCGCAAATGAAGAAGGGAGAACATAAAGCAAATATCATGTCAAAGATAAGGAAAAAGAGAAAGAAAAGTAACATGCATAGGAAGAGAAAAGGAATGAATGGACTGAAGAAGGAAAAATGGCAAATAGATACTCCATGAAAGATGAAAATCGGTGGAGTGGAGAAGGTGGAATCCAGTTGTTCGCCACACAAACAAAATTCAGAAACACGTGTCTATAGATGGATGATTTTTAGAAAATCATTAAATGAAGAATGGAAATGGGCTGCTAAAAGAGAATGGCAATACACGTGTCAAACAGAAAAAAGACCAAAAAATGCAATAACCAATCAAATAGAGACGAATTATCAGTACAATATAGATAACATATTGTACAATTTGTCACTGCTGCGTTCGTACACATTGGCCATTGTTGATTTTCATACGCATATTAGTAATTATATCTAATTTGCACATGTATGTTTGAAAATAGATAATTAGGTGCATGATTTTGGATATTTGATGAAAATCTGGTACTTTTGGGTAATCAACTCTAATTAGTTTTTTCCTCTTCAGTTTTGATATTCCCAAAACAGATTATATAATTGAAATTTTCTGTTCTTTCTCTCTTTGATGATCAGTTAACCAATGTTCATTTAACCGAGTGTTCAAATCTGGCTGTGGGGGTAAGTTTTTTTAGTATGATAGTTCATTTTAAGTGAAGTATGCTTTATATCATGTGCTTTTCTTAGTTTTTTTAATAATTAAGCGGGTAGTTCTGGAAAGTAAATTGTTTTCTTCTGCTTTTTTCACTACCAAAAAACAGTGTTATTAGAGCGGTTAATTTGGCGTATAACGGCGGTTCAAAACCGCCACAAAAGACTAAGACTTCCGTTCGCCAGTAATATATTGCGGCGGTTTTTCAAAAACTGCCATAATCTGACATTTGATTAAGCGGCGGTTTCCAAATTGCATAATACGGCGGTTTGGAACAGCCCGAATTGTGTTCCCATATTGTACTACTGTTTCAACTGGCGGTCAAACCCGCCACAATTGTGTTCCGTTATCTTATTACTACTTATTTGTCTTCTTATATTTAACCTTCTTTATCATACTAATGTATCGAAACATGTCAGATAACTATAGAATAATTTTGACACAAATACAAGCCATCAATTAAGTAAAATATATATTATTAAAAAAACAAGTATAGGTACTTCAATATTACATCACCAGATAAACTAAAATTCCAATGAATTGTTCAACAACAAAAAGAATCATAGTCAATTATTGCAACATTTTTGAATGAGCACTCGGTGTAATCTGCATTGAGTCTGCCTTCTTAACATCAGCTAAAAATACCAGAAATGTCATGTATATTTATCCAAACAGAGCTGCTATTTTGGGGGATCTTTTTAACTAATTTTTAAACTCATCTTCATATTCCGGAATATCTTTTCTCGGATATCTTTCCTCAGAAGCTCTATTTCTTGTTTCCTGCATAAAAAAGTTAGATCACATAAAGAAGTTAAATTTCGGAGAGTGTTTTACAAGAAGCAGACACTCTTTTAGTCTAACTCTAACTCCTAGCAGTGACACCATATAACTCATAAAATACATAAAAGTTGTTGATCAGACTCAAAGTAAATATGGATGTCAATTCAACTGGAAACTCAAATAAAGCTAACCAACAACTGACTCAATTGCGTGACTTGGCAGACTAAAGAAATTGAAAAAAGATTCTGCATATCACAGTCCTGATTATGTTAACTTCTGCTCATAGTGTATTCTCTCGACACACCTCAAGAAAACTACTTAAACTTCAATTGAGTATCAAATTTCTATCTAGCAATTTACAGAACAAGGTATCAATCATATTTCTCAAGCCTCTTATCTCTAAAGAAAACAAGGATGTCGAGCAATCTGCCAATTCATATATATCTCGTAAACTAACTCAGTTCTCTAAATGATGATCATTTTGATTTAACATCAAAATAATAAGGCCGAAGAGCCTCTGAATCAAATATGCAAATCAGAATACCGAGGTCCAAACTATGGAAAAGAATAGAAAATAAAAAGCTACATGCTCTTTCTATATGTCACCAACTAACTTTCTTGACAAGTCATGTTTTGTCAATAACACAAAGATATAGAAAGACGTCAAAAAACTATTAACACCTCACATGTACAATAAAAACAGAAGAAATATTTTTTATAACATTAAGATATCGAACAACTTTCAAAAAACTATTATCACCTCATAAGTAAAATAAAAACAACGAAATATACGATCATTTGATTATTTTCATACAGTACATGATGCATATCTAATGTTCATATATAGTAGACTATAAAGTTCTTACCAACCTTTTGAAGCACATGATTAAGTCACTACGAATCACTAAAGAAAGTAGATCAGCTGGAGTTTGATTTATATGATTGATCTAAACAAAGATTAGAAACAAGAAATCATGTGCTTGTCTTCAATAGACTGCAAATAAGAACTTTATGGCCAATACTTCTAAATCAAAGTCTCATATAATCGGGCCGTATTTTATCCTAACATGTCAAACTTGGACGAAAATTCATTTTCTTTGACTTGCTTCCCCTCTCACATTCACGAATTTACTCATCACTTGTTTGAAATAGCATAATGCTTATAATCTCAAAATAATCCCATTCCCGAACTTACGTCGATTAACATACGAAAATGCGGGATGTAACACACGAAGCCACAATTGCACCAAATGCTCTCTCGAGCATGGGTTCTCACATGCAAATTTAACTACTTTACCAGAAAAATCGGTGTTATACACTGGAGGGGTGATGGTTTCACATGCCCCATAGCCTCTCCCAATGGATCCGCCCCTGTAACCAAACCTTCTCTATTAGAGAATTCACTTATCCTTGATTGAGTTTCCAAGGAGCTTATGATGTCTTGGGCACTAAGTAGAGCAACGCAGCAGGATATCACTGAACTAGAGGCGTATCCAGAATTTTAAAATTATGGGTGCACCATTTGAAAGTAGTAAAGGATTTGTCATGCTTTGAACTTCCGGAGCTATTTGTGAACTCACGGATGGCCGAGTAGTACTAGAACTTGGCTCACCATTTTTTGACTTTGTGAGAAATCTATCCATTTCAATGTTAAGGATTACCATCCATACAAAGTTAAACATTTACACTTTTATTCAATCTATCTTAATTCAAATAGAATAGTATGATTCAAATCATAGATTAATTGGATTTAAGGGACACAAATCAATTTTACTATATTAAATCCCATTTTTGGTTTCAAATTTTACTATCTTAATTCAAATAGAATAGTGAGGGTGAAACACACTTCATTCTTCACTTTTTTTCTAACTCTTCTTTTTTGGTTCTCCACGTGTTAATGTACACAGACCCTTCGTGTTCTTCTTTAGTTACCTTATTTTGCTTTCTTCTTCACCTTCTGTCTACTCTCTCTCTGGTAAGTACTTCCTCTACCACTTTCCTTTTTTTTTCTTCTCCTTTTCTACTGGCTTTTTGTGTTATTTGCTTTTCCTGTTCTTTTGAGTGTTATTGGTGACTTCGATTTTGTTTGCTACGGAAAAATTGGAAAATGGACTTGCTAATTTAGCTGATTCATCTATTTGGCCGTGGACACAATCAGACCCATATCTTGGCTTGGCAAACATTGGATGGTATGCGATTTGAGTCTTCTCTATCAGATGCAACAGGTTCTTTTGCAGGGTATCTTTCTCTCTCTCTCTCTCTTTTGTTGATAAAAATGTGTGGTATCCTTCTTTGCCCCATCAGAAACGCAGATTGATCCTCGCTAATGCAATTAGAAGTAGACTAGATGCATGTAGGAGTTTTACTATAAATACCCCATGTATTCTAGCCATTTGAATATAAAAAACCAAATCAAGTGAAATTAAGAAAAGTGAATGAAAACTATCATTCACAATATAAAAAAATTCTCTCTTTGATTTCCTCTTTGATCACTAATCTTCCTACCTCAATCCAACACAATCAGAGTTAGACTGCATCAAGACACTTTTAGTGAAAGGAATTTGGCAAATCCTCTTATCTTCCTAGAACTATCCTCATCTCTATACTAATTTGACAAAAGATATCTGGGTAGATTGACAAAAGAGCGATTTCGTTATGGACTTCTCACCTTCGTCGAAGTTTCATCTACAACAAAAGAGGCTAAGTGCCAAGGTAACAGGTGTATGGAAAAGAGTAGTACTACAAATAGTAATCTAAAGATAATTAGTGTAGCACTACAAACAGCTCACTCAATTCCTGCCGGATATGTTTGACTTGTTTCACATTTGTTCTTTAGCTAGACATGAACACGACACCATTGCAGGAGTCAATGTTCACTGATTCTAGATTGCTAAAAGATATTATTACTTCTGATACTTTTTACTCCAATATAAAACACACACACACATATATATAGGAAGTTGATAACAACAACAACAACAAACCCAGTTTGAACCCAACAGGTGGGGTCTGGGGAAAGTAGTCTGTACGCAGACCTTACCCTTACCTAATGCAGGTAGAGAAACTGTTTCCAATAGACCCTCGGCTCAGAAAGGGCAAATATATAGGCCGTTGATATGTAATAAATATATGAAGAAAAGAGATGTGTTGCAATAACATCAAAACTAATTCACTCTTTAGCCATACTATCGCACTAATAATATTAACGCAACCACTTAGTAACAAAGTACATTGTTGTATCTAAAGTGATGGCAAACACATTCAGGTCAAGTCCAATATGAATTTTTCCTCATAAAAATTTCTAAATTAACATAACTGAACATTGGTGTGCGTTAGTATATATAATCGAGATTTTACTGCTCAATAGTATAAAGTAAGTCTGACTTTCTAGCAGTCACACTTCTTCAAATACCTGGTGTGCGTTAGATCTGTAAATATAAAATAAATGTAATATGTAATTTCTATCTGACATTATTATTGTCTTGATGGCACCCATCTTACATGATGAAAATTCTAAAACTCAATTCAACAAAAGTCATAAGAGCATGCATATGCAGAAGTACCCAATAGACCAAGCAAGTAGCCAAAAGGTAAAGTTGAATCTCACCAGAAAAAGTAGTAGAGCGAGGCAAGAACAAAGACCCTAACACTC